CAAACACTCAGCAGAAGTCAGAAAAGTGAGTTTAAAATAATGTAATTAATGTAAGGAAATTTTAGCTCAGGTTTTGAGAGGGGAATCGAATCTGAAGATTCAAAATCAACCTGATTGAACTGATTCAAAATTTGATAGTTTACACTTTATCAACTGTTCGTCCAGCGAGACGTTAACATCAGTATATCTTAACAATTTGGATATTTGTATTATCCCTGGCTACAGGTTGATACATACTAGTGATAATTTATAAGCTACGAGCTAGGTAGCAAAATCTGGGCAAAGTTTAACTTTAAATACACAACACAAGACAATAATTCTTTATAATGAAACATGAATTTATTTGAGCTACTCTAAAGATTACATGGTACTAAACTAATGAAAACACACACACACACACACACATACAGTTCGAAGGATGAGAGTTAACGGAGTTCTGAGGAAGTCCCAAAAGTCTAGTAAGTTATTCGTTCTTAGATCGCACCAAGAAAATCACAAAAGCAGAGATTTGGCTTATCTTTAGTTACTTAAGATCAATTCAGCACCAGTTTTCCAGCTAGTAAGGAGACCTTGTTTTACATGCATTTGAGTTGAGAGCTGAGAGGGGTTCCTCTTCAGGAACTCAAGCTGCATCTGAGGATGCTTTGGGAACGCCTTCTGTGACGATGCTCTGAATCACATGTGAAATCAGTCCAATAGCTGGGCGAGACATCATGGGCGGGTGACGTCATGACCAGGAAGCTATAAAAGCACGTGTGGCGGAGCCGGCGTCAGCTTTCTGTCATTCAGCGAAGCGCTCTGTGTGTGTCAGTCATATTTATTGTTGTCTGTTATTTGTGAAAGTTCTAAGCTCCAGCTATGTCTAAAGCTCACGCTAAGACAAAGCATTCCAAGGGCGAGAGCAAGCCTCGTTATAGATTGTGTGTTCCTCCCTGCCCATGTTACATCACGGGTGGGGATACACACGGTCTGTGCGTGGTTTGCTTGGGAGCGAAGCATGCAGAGTCGGCTCTCAAGGGGGCCGGCTGCCTGCATTGCGAGCTTCTTCCACTGTGTACGCTTCGCTCCCGGAGGGCTCTCTTTGAGGAGGGAGCCTTCGCCAGCGTGCCTCGCGGTGCTGGCCCCGCTTCCGTCGGGGCGTAGTGGTCTCCGGCGAGCGTTTCTTTCAGTTACCGCCCAGCAACGTAGCGGCACTGAGAGGCTCGTGACCTCTGCAGAGGCCCCCAGAGCAGCCGTCCCCTGCCGGTGTGCCACTTCAGGGCACTGAACTAGCCGCTCTGGGCACACCAGAGATCAGTCTCGAGAGACTGATTCCCTTAGTAGATTATTTAACAGCGTGGACCAAATGTATCTCAATGGGTCCTGCATACTGTAGAAAGAGGCTACATAATCCAATTTGGTTCTCGTCCGCCTCGATTCAACGGGGTCACCCCCACTCTAGAGGGTCCCAAGCAGGCTTTGGTATTAGAACAAGAAGTAGTTACTCTCTTAAAGAAGGAGGCCATTGAGGTGGTCCCTCCGCACGAGACAGACTCTGGGTTCTACTGCTGGTACTTCATTGTTCCGAAGAAGGATGGGGGGTTGCGTCCTATTTTAGATCTGCGCCTATTGAACCGCTCAGTCATGCGACTGAAGTTCAGGATGCTCACACTCAAACAAGTCGTGTTTCAGATCAGGTCTGAGGACTTGTTTGTCACGATCGATCTAAAAGATGCATACTTCCATGTCTCCATCCTTCCTCATCACAGGAAGTTCCTGAGGTTCGCTTTTGGGGGCAAAGCTTACCAATATCGTGTTCTTCCTTTCGACCTTGCACTCTCACCCCGCACTTTCACAAAGTGTGTGGATGCCGCTCTGGCTCCGTTGCGACTCGTCCGCATACTCAACTATATCGACGATTGGTTGATTTGAGGTCATTCAGAGCAGATAGCGGTTCGACATCGAGATGTCATTCTCGCTCACATGAGAGAGTTGGGGTTAAAACTAAACTTCAAGAAGAGTGTGCTTTCTCCATTACAGAGGACCACCTATCTGGGCGTGGTGTGGGATTCGACCACGATGCAGGCACGTTTGTCCCCTGCTCGGATCGAGTCGATCCTCACTGCAGTCAGGAGAGTGAAAGAATGCCAGTCACTCACTGTCAAGCAGTTTCAAAGACTGCTGGGTCTGATGGCAGCTGCGTCCAACGCAATTACTCTTGGCCTGCTGTACATGAGACCCTTACAGTGGTGGCTCAAGACCAGGGGGTTCTCACCGAGGGGAAACCCGCTTCGGTCCCTCACCGGTTGGGTTGCGGTCATGAGTGGCCACCCTGCCTGTGGTCTGTGGAGTGGTTGCCATCTGATGTGGCATATTAATTGTCTGGAGATACTGGCCATGTTTCGAGCACTGAAACACTTTCTCCCAGACCTAAGAGGTCACCATGTGTTGGTGTGCACTGACAACACAGCATTCGCACCCCTTGTACAAGTTGCCGCACCAGATCCTTGTGTGGTCCCAGGAGAAACTCCTCTCGCTGAGAGCAGTGCACATTCCTGGGCATCTCAATGTGGGAGCAGACATCCTGTTGAGGCAGGGGCCGAGGCCCGGGGAAAGGATGCTTCACCCCGAGGTGGTGAAGCAGATATGGAGAGGTTTTGGCCAGACTCAGGTGGACATGTTTGCGACTCTGATGACTTCACATTGTCCCCTCTGGTTCTCTCTGACACATCCAGCTCCACTGGGGCTGGATGCCATAGTACAGATGTGGCCAAGGCTTCGTCTGTACTCCTTTCCTCGATCGCTCTGCTCCCAGGAGTTCTGGAGAGAGTGCACCGGGACGGAGTCCGTCTACTTTTAGTAGCCCCGTTTTGGCCAGGCCGAGTATGGTTCTCGGACTTGATTTCCCTTATCGATGGCTCTCCATGGGAGATTCCTGTCAGGAGGGACCTCCTCTCACAGGCGGAGGGCACAATATTTCACCCCTGCCCGGAGCTGTGCAAATTATGGGTGTGGCCCCTGAGGGGGCACAACTAGTAGCTTCTGGTCTCTCAACTGAGGTTGTTGAGACCATCTTCCAATCCAGAGCTCCCTCAACGAGGAAACTGTACGCCTTGAAGTGGAAACCTTTCACTTCCTGGTGTAGAGACCGCCAGCGACATCCTGTCGAGGCAGGGGCCGAGGCCCGGGGAATGGATGCTTCACCCCGAGGTGGTGAAGCAGATATGGAGAGTTTTTGGCCAGGCTCAGGTGGACTTGTTTGCGACTCAGACGACACCGCAATGTCCCCTCTGGTTCTCTCTGACACATCCAGCTCCACTGGGGCTGGATGCCATAGTACAGATGTGGCCAAGGCTTCGTCTGTACTCCTTTCCTCGATCGCTCTGCTCCCAGGAGTTCTGGAGAGAGTGCACCGGGACGGAGTCCGTCTACTTTTAGTAGCCCCGTTTTGGCCAGGCCGAGTATGGTTCTCGGACTTGATTTCCCTTATCGATGGCTCTCCATGGGAGATTCCTGTCAGGAGGGACCTCCTCTCACAGGCGGAGGGCACAATATTTCACCCCTGCCCGGAGCTGTGCAAATTATGGGTGTGGCCCCTGAGGGGGCACAACTAGTAGCTTCTGGTCTCTCAACTGAGGTTGTTGAGACCATCTTCCAATCCAGAGCTCCCTCAACGAGGAAACTGTACGCCTTGAAGTGGAAACCTTTCACTTCCTGGTGTAGAGACCGCCAGCTTGACCCAGCTAACTGCACAGTTGGTACACTACTGGAGTTCCTGCAGGCCCGCTTCTCTACAGGGTTGACCCACTCCACCCTGAAGGTCTACGTGGCGGCCATTGCGGCCTACCACGCCCCTCTTGGTGGCCAGTCAGTGGGAAGACACCTCCTGGTGTTAGAAGCTCTCTGTAAGCCTCCGTTCGAGCCAATTGAGGAGATTTCTGATCGCCATCCCATGATAAAGACTACCTTTCTTCTGGCGATATCTTCTCTTAAGAGAGTTGGGGATTTGCAGGCCCTATCAGTGGCCCCTTCCTATCTTGACTTTGCGCCCGGTCTGGCCAAAGCGTTTCTGTACCCTCGAGTGGGGTATGTCCCGAAAGTTCCCTCATCTGCACTGCAGCCTATCGTACTCCAGGCCTTTAGTAAATCATCCCTTTCCGGGGTTCCTCCCATGGACGTGAGAGAAGTGATCATGAGTGACAATCATCCCTATGTAGTTTAAGTCATTCCAGATGGGGAAAAGTTCTCTCTTCCTCCTGTTTGAACTAAGTCTACCATTGCTTTAGGGCTCTCTTGAGGAGATAAGCAGAGCAGGACGGAAAACTGAGACAATTGGACGCCTGAGCTGGCTATAGGATCGGTTTTATGACTCGCAAATGGTTAGGAGAGTGAATCTTTAGATGTCTCTGGAATGTAGAGTTTCAACAGCTCACGTTGGTGATTCAAGGGTTTATTCGTGTCTGTTCGACAGAGATCCTACATTAAATAAATGTAAATATTTATTTTATATAATTTAGTTGCATTAGTTTAGCTGGGTGGCTGAGTTCCATTCTGAAGGGTTCATCCCTATGCCATGATCTTTTTGAAGGGTTTACCCTCCAGAGTAATAGCTTTGAAGGAATGAAGGGTGTAGGGGACCAAAAACAGTTCCTTAGAACACACTTCTGTGTCACAAATTAAACATGCAGGAGAATCATGGGAGTGAAAAGTGTACATCACTTTAACCCTTTCAGAAGAGCCCTATGAAGTATTGAGAAGCACCCTGTGTATTAGTGGTGGGGATTTTACAGTGACTCTTACTGAAGGTTACATTGTTACACCAGTAGGTGGCGACAAATGTTTATGGCTGAGTCATTGATTTTGATTTATTTGCTCAAATGATTCATTTAAAAACAGGAATGAATCACTTTGTTCAGTGATGTTCAGTGAATCAATTTGTTGCAGTTTTGTTTGAAACTAGTATTTTCGGTGGCCGAAACAAATACAAGCAACAAGGCAACTGACAATAATTTGTCTAAAATCAAATGTAAGTTACTTAATATTAACTTCTTGTTTTATTGTTGCACACTTGCAATCACACTGTTAGTCTGAATATCGACATGGCTGTGATTACCTGATTACTAAAGTAATATCACACCTCTCCTCAACATGACTGAAAGACACATGATCTGAGGAATCCTTCAGTGCAAACGGTGCAGGATGAAGTTTATACTTCAGTTGAGAATTTTTGAAACCCCTTAAAAACACTGAAGTATAAGCAACAGTAACACTGATTCTTGTCTTAGTAAACACTGCTAATAATTTGTTGACTGTCCTGTTTGACCAGAGAAACACAGAGAAGGAGAAAGCAGCTCATGTCGAGCTCTTCACTGATCTCATCCGCTCCATTGAGAGACGTCAGACTGAACTGCTGGAGATGATGGAGGAGCAGCAGAAAGCAGCAGAGAAACAGGAGGAAGAGCTTATTGAAGAGCTGGAGCAGGAGATCACTGAGCTAAAGATGAGAAACACTGAGCTGGAGCAGCTCTCACACACTGAAGATAACCTCCACCTCCTACAGGTCAGTCAACATGATCTCTCTGATCAATGATAATGCAGGATATAACACCAGAACACTCCCCATGCTGAAGGATTTCTCCTCTCTCCTGCTGTAGGTTTACTCATCTCTGTGCAGCCCTACAAACACCAGGAACCGGCCTGAGATCAGTATGAAGACTCATGAGAGTCTGGAGACTCTGAGGAGAGCTCTGACTCAACTGAAGGACACTATAGATGAGAAACTCACACTAACTGGTACATCAGTACATACATTAATCAGATAGAAACATGATGATGTACTCAATTCTTTAAATATAACATTAGGATCTGATGATGTTTTATTGTCATTAGTCTCTGCAGAGCTGAAGGTGATGCAGCAGTATGCAGGTACAGTGTGCTGTCTGCACTACACTAGTTTACATTCATACACTCACAGCTTCATTACTGCACTATTAAAAACTGGACTGAATATTGAAATCATTGTCACAGAATATCTGTGTATTGTGAAGTTGTGATTCAGTTTCTCCTGTTTTCTCAGTGGATGTGACTCTGGATCCTGATGTAGCTCATCGTAAACTCATCCTGTCTGATGATGGAAAACAAGTGAGAGATGGATACATTGATCAGAAACTCCCAGACAAACCTGTGAGATTTGATGCATGTGTCTGTGTCTTGGGAAAGGAGGGATTCTACTCAGGGAGATTTTATTTTGAGGTGCAGGTGAAGGGAAAGACTGAATGGGATTTAGGAGTGGCCAGAGAATCCATTAACAGGAAGGGAAAGATCACACTGACTCCCAGTAATGGATACTGGACTGTGTGGCTGAGGAATGGAAATGAATATACAGGTGCATCTCAATAAATTAGAATGTCGTGGAAAAGTTCATTTATTTCAGTAATTCAACTCAAATTGTGAAACTCGTGTATTAAATGAATTCAGTGCACACAGGCTGAAGTAGTTTAAGTAGTTAAGTCTTAGGTTAGATAGTGAATTGGTGGGTTTTTGTTAAATGTGAGCCAAAATCATCACAATTAAAAGAACCAAAGACTTAAACTACTTCAGTCTGTGTGCATTGAATTTCTTTAATACACGAGTTTCACAATTTGAGTTGAATTACTGAAATAAATTAACTTTTTCACGACATTCTATTTTATTAAGATGCACCTGTAAGGCTCTCTCTGGTCCTCTGTCTCTCAACATCCCACCCCTCCTGTGACCCATGGTTTGTCTGTATGTGTATTCAGAGCCAGTGAGCAACAGAATTTCAAAATAATTATAATGATTAAAAAAAACTGGGTTAATGGGCGGTAAAATAATTGTTGGCGTTAATTAATTAATGCGATAACGCATTAACTTGCCCAGCCCTAAGAAATAGACAACAACAGATTTTAAAAAGTATCACCTGAATGTATTTTTTTGTCATGTATTGATCTTAAATGTTTAAATTTCTTTTGGTGCATTTTGTTAATTTTAGACTTTTGCTATTCACTTCATGTTCTCACATGAAGACCAGCCATGCTGCTGACATAGCATAAAAAAATATAAATTTATTTATTTATTTATTAAAATAAATTATTTAAAATGTATTCTAGTAAAGTAAATAACTTATTTTAATTATGAATTTATTTTTTTAAGAATAGTCTTGCTGTTGCCATGGCGTTAAAAAATATTAATTAATTATTAAATTAAAATAAATTACTTACTACTATTTTTAATCAAATAAATAATAATGTATTCTTTTTTTAATTTATAATATTTTTAATGATGGCCTTGATGGTGGTAAAAAAAACAATAAATACATGAAGAAAAGAAAAGAAAATAGATAAATTATATATTTAATTAAAAAAAATAATAATAATGAAAAATAATTCATTTAAATTAATTTATATTTTTAGCAATAGCCTTGCTGCTGACATGGCATTAAAAATAGTAAATTAATTAATTAAAATGAATATATTATTTATAATATTATTGCAATTAAATAAATGATAAATACAGTAACATTTTAATTATTAATTATTTTTTTATCGATAGCTATACATAAATAAATAATCTTGCTATAATTAAAATAAATTAGTTATTAATTATTTTAATATTATACATTATGAATAATTTAATTTATTTTTAACGGTAGTCTTGCTGAAAATTGATTACATTCTAAATATATATAGGCTATATATAAGTATAATGCATATCTTTCTCCGTCTCACTAGCCGTCTGGACTGAGTGGCCCTCATCGTTCAGGTCAAGGTCAGCTGCAGAAGATCATGTCGAGTGTTTCCCTCACTGAAGACGTCCAGCTGAATAAAGTGGAGAAGGTCTGGAAACCATCAGTGAAGCGCAGCGGCCGTGCCGACGAGGACGAGCCCGAGTTCTTGAAGACGCAGGAGCTGTTCAAACACATGGAGAGCGTGTTGAATCAACTGACGCCGCAGATGTTCCAGCCGCTGATGAAGCAGGTGACGAAACTGACCATCGACACAGAGGAGCGCCTGAAAGGAGTGGTCGAGCTCATCTTGGAGAAGGCCATCTCTGAGCCCAACTTCTCTGAAGCCTACGCCAACATGTGCCGCTGCCTCATGGGGGTGAGTGTGAGCCGAACGCTGTGATCGCAAAAGCAGCTCCTGCAGCGTCTAGTCTGTGTTTTATCATCTGTCTCTCATCGCAGCTGAAAGTTCCCACCACGGAGAAACCTGGAATGACGATAAATTTCAGGAAGCTGCTGCTGAATCGTTGTCAGATAGAGTTTGAGAAGAACAAAGATGATGATGAAACGTTTGAGAAGCAGAAGAAGCTGGATGCCGCCACAGGGGTATGAACAACACACACACACTTGAGCGGACTGATATGTAGGGGTTGTGGCAGGGCAGTCTTTTTGCAATTTTTCTGATTTAAATTTTTTTTAGGGAAATGTTTGTTGGGCTGCACAATTTAGCCAACTATTTTGTGATTATATATTAATATAACTGTTGTTGTTATTGTTATTATTACTTAATAATACAATAAATATTACTAATGTAATATTTCACTGTAATATATAAAAAAGAAAAATATAAGAATTTAAGAAAGAAATGTAATATTAATAATAATTATTATTATCTTTATCTTTATTTATCTTTTTATTACTTTATTTTACATTTTTATTTTATTGATTTTAAAGGTCCAGGTTTTCTGCTCGTTTAGCCATTTTTTTCTGTGTGTATGTATATATATATAAATTAATATTATTATTATTATTATTATTCATATAAAAATATAAAACACAATAAGAAATATTACTTTTGTAAAATGTCCCTATAAAATAAAAGACTATTTAAGGTTTTTATTTTGATTGTAAAATAATAAAATTATTATTTTTGTTATTATTTAATAAAAACATATAACTATTAATATAACTATTATTGTTGTTGTTATTATTTTAAAAAATAAATAAAAAATACTACTATTGCAATATTTTCTTAGACTTAGTTCCTCCCATGCTATGTAGCATATCGGGCAGCAATCATTCTCCATCGACTTCAGTCTTGGGCTAGGGCTTCGGCGTCGTCCCATGCCGTGTTAAGCGTCTTCAGATCTTGTAAGAACATTCTTCGCCAGGTGTTCCGAGGGCGTCCTCGTGGTCGTTTGGTGCCAGGGGACCCATCGCATGGCCATCTTGGGGATCCGGCTGTTCTCCATACGAAAGATGTGGCAGGCCAGTCTGAGTCTTCTACAGGCGACGATGTTATGAAGTTTGCACGCGCCACTCCTTCGAAGTACCTCTTCATTGGTAATGTAATCATAAAATCGGATCTTCAGAATTCAGCATAGGCACCTCCAGGTCTCACTGGCATAGATGGCTGTCGGAACTCACTGCTCGATGATGTTACGGAGGATGAAGATTTGCTCGCTGCATGACCTTCCGCCGCAGAAACCGGCTTGCTCTTCCCGCAAGCGCTGATCGAGAGCACTCCACAGGCATCGGAGGAGGACCACACAGAATGACTTTCCAGGCACAGAGAGGAGGGTGATTCCTCGCCAGTTGGTACACTCCTTTCTTGAGGATCTTGACTATGGCACCCCTTCTCCAGTCCTCTGGGACTTCGCCATTCCGCCAGTATTTGTTAAAGAGCGACATTAGCTTCTCCGCCATGGGCTGCCCTCCATACTTCAAGATCTCTTCAAGCCGTTATTTCATCCAAGCCAGCCGCCTTGTTGTTCCTTAGGCTTTTGATCGCAATCTTCACTTCCTCTATGGTGATGTCACCGGTGTTCACCTGAAGCTGCTCCTTGGCATCCTCCACATCGAAGTCGCACGTGCTGGTCAGATCTGGTTGATTGAATGTCTCCCGGAAATGTTCCGTCCACCGCTTGTTCTGCTCATCTTGGGCGATCAAAAGCTTCCCATTTTTGTCCTTGATCGGAATGCTAGAGTTACTCTTTGTTCCAGTCAGTTCATGGACTATGCGGTACAAGGTCTGGGAGTCATTTCGGTCAGCAGCTTCCTGTGCTTCGGCACCTTTACACTCTAGCCATTGCTTCTTATCCTTCCGACAGTTTTTCTTCACAAGTCTGTCCAGCCCGGCGCATCTTCGGCTTCCTTCCATCTCGTCCATTGTTTTAGCCTGGTCCCTTTTAAGCTTCGCGGCTTTTCTCTCATCGATCAATTTCCACGATCGATCTTGGATCGATCTGAGGTTTTCCCAGAGGTCTTCTACTTTCGCCATCTCTTCAAGAGGGGCGAAGCGGTTGCGCAGTTCCAGGGTGAAAGCATCTGCGGTGGAGGGGTCTTTGAACTTCTCGATCGGGAAAGGTCTATTTGGTATGGGCTGCCTTTGGTTACAGAGCTTGAGCTTGATATCCTCCCTGACTAGGTAATGATCAGATCCAACGTCTGCTCATCTGTAGACCCTCACGTCGCGCAGTGATGACCTCCACTTTTGGCTGACGCATATGAAGTCAATCTCATTGAAATTTTGCCCGTCTGGTGATCGCCAGGTCTTCTTGTGGATTTGCCAGCGTTGGAAGTACGTGTTCCCAATGCACAACCTGTTATGTTCGCAGAACAACGCCAGCCGCTCCCCATTGTTACTGATGAGGGCAGATGATGCGTGGGCACCGATCACAGTTTCGAGTCCTCGAGGGTCGCCGCCCAATTAGCCGTTGAAATCCCCAATCAGGATCTTCAGGTCGTGATTTGGGATGTCGTCGAAAGACGTCTTGGAGCTTTTCATAGAAGTCGTCCTTTGCTGCGACATCCGCACTGTCCGTAGGTGCATAAACTTGGACCATGGTCGCTTTGGAGTGTCCATAGGCGAAACGGGCTGTGATGATCCGATCGTTGACGGGCTTCCAGCCGAGGAGTGCTTTCATCGCTCGTTTGCTCAGGATAAGGCCTACTCCACGTTCGTGACATTCTTCATGACCCGCGAACAAGATGGTCTTGCCATAAATAAATTTTCATGTATTCTTGCTGTTTCCGTAGCAATGGTTTGTTTTACGGGGACGGGTTGCTAGCCGGGCGCCCAACCCTCCTCCTTTTCCATCTCTTTTGCAATTACGATTCATATTAAGAAGTCAGTATAAAAATATGTATATATTTATATTTATATACTTATATATTTACACAGTACAAAGGCATTTATGACTTCACTTCCTGTTTCTGCCCCTTCAGGAAGAGGAGAAGCAGAGGCTAAAGGAGGACCTTGAGGACGTCAAAGAAAAAGCCCGGCGACGGTCACTAGGCAACATCAAGTTCACTGGTGAGCTGTTCAAGCTGAAGATGCTGACGGAGTTCATCATGCACGACTGCATCGTCAAACTGCTGAAGAACCACGACAACGAGAAGAATCTGGAGTGTCTCTGCTGCCTGCTGTCTACCATCTGGAAACATCTAGACCTCGAAAAGACCAAGGTGACACACGTTAGGTGTCATTACATAGTCATTACATAACTTTTACAAAAATGTAAATTTAAAATTGTATATAGAATTCTTTTTTTTAAATAATTAAAAATAAAAATTAATAAAAACAACAGAAACATACAAAAACAAAATTAAAAATGTAAATTATAAAATATATAATGATGTTAATGAAATAAAAATAAAAATGGGGGAGTGAGGCAATAAAATTATTTTTATTCCATCTTTGGCAGTTGTATTTATAGTTTAACTATATTTTTTAAAGATTATTTAAATATATTATTTAAAATATTTATTTCAATAATATATCATTTAAGACTCATGCATATATTCTGCTGAATTTTTTGTCTTTTCAGCCCCGAATGGATCAATATGTAAACCAGATGGAGAAAATTATTAAGGAGCGGAAAACCTCTTCCAGAATTCGCTTCATGCTGCAGGACGTTCTTGATTTACGACGGTTAAACCGTGAAAATAGACTCTGAGTGTGTGATCATTTACTTCCTTATTTCTCATTCCTGACATTATTGTGAACAGTTCATTAATGCACATTATTCTAAAATAAAATGTTTGGCACCTTAATCTTTTAATTAAAATTAAATAACTTAAAATTGTGGAATATAAAGATTTTTTAAATATTTTTGAATGAAGTCTCTTCTGCTCACCAAGGCTGCATTTATTTGATCAAAAATACAGTAAAATTGTGAAATATTATTCTAATTTAAAATAACTGTTTTCTTTGTGAATATCTGTTAAACTGTAATTTATTTCAGTGATCAAAGCTGTATTTTCAGCATCATTACTCCAGTCTTCAGTGTCACATGATCTTCAGAAATCATTCTAATATGCTGATTTGCTGCTCTTAATAAATACTCTGCCTTCTTTCCCTTTCATCTCCACCTGATAAAGTGAAATTGGCTGTAAAATATGGTCAAAAAACTAAACTATGGTGACCTTAATAAACTGTTGTATCAAGGTAGTGGCTCCCCTACAGAATGTTCTGTGATATTTACATCTGCTGGTAATATCTTGATATACTGTATATCATAGATCTGCATGATTACTATATTCATATACCACGGTATGCACATGGTACTTTATGGTACCTAAAAAATACCATGACATTATGATCATGGTAGTGCTAATAAAAACATGATATTACCATGGTATCATGGTAATGATAAATTAATCTTAATTTTACTAATTAATGCAAACCTTGGCTCTCTCATTAACCCATCACATGAGATGCTTTTATACTAACGCTTTAATTATCTAACCAGTAACACTCGCAGCTTCTATCTATCTGTCTATCTATCTATCTATCTGTCTAGTATAGTTTGTTCGTTCGTTCTATCATTCTAACATCTAATCTTTTTTGTGGCCTATAAACCTTTAAACTTCAATTTTTAAACAGCATTTTCACATTTAGACAGCTCACAACTTTTGAAACAAGGCTTTGTCAAGCCATCATTCAAGGTTTGTTTTGATAAACTTTGATTTTCTATTTAGCTATCTGAAAAAAAAAATGTTTCTTTGAGTTTAATTCATTTTAGTTCTACTTCCTACATCTGAACAGCAATTCTGCGTCATGTTTGCCACCTCAGTTCAGATTCCTGAATTTTAATTCAGAAGTTGAATTGGAATTTAAAATCCACAATGCTAGGTTATTGTGTGCGGTTGCCAGGGTGTTGTTATGCAGACACTGTTCTGGGTGCTTCTGTGCTGTTGCTATGGAGTTACTATGTGGTTGTTAGGATGTTCTGGGCTGTTTACTAAAGTGAAAACAGTCTCCTCCTCATCTCTAATATTCAGCTCTCTACAATAGATAAGACTCGGGTCCCTCTTTCAGTGAAAAATCATTAGTCTGATTACTTTATTCTGAAAACTACACCCAGATGAATGTTGCGGGGAGTTTGGTACTCAGGGTCCGTTCAAAACACTGCCTCTCTGTTAGAGCAATATTAACAGTGATGCTTAACTTAGCAAACACTGCTAATAAAGTTGAAGACAATCTGTAAAGTGTCTCTGGTGCAAACAAAAGCCCCAGGCAGCAGAAGTGATGGCAGCGGGCCACGGGGCAACTGCCTGATCCCGGGTTTTTTTACAGCGTGTCCTGATGCAGGGAAATAGTTTGCATTTTTGAATTCGAGCCTGGACTGTGGAGGGTAGAGACTCTCTCTCTCTCTCTCTCTCTCTCTGTGTGTATGTGTGTGTGTGTGTGTGTGTGTGTATGTGTATGTGTATGTGTGTGTGTGTGTGTGTGTGTGTGTGTGTGTGTGTGTGTGTGTGTGAAATGAGCTTGTTAACGTTTGCCCTTTTTTAGACCTTCAGTAGTCATCAAACATTTTTTTTATTAATTATTTTATTTTATATATTAATCAATTATTTATTTTTGGCATGTTGCATTAAATCCACTATAGGTTCAAAATCTAGAACACATGCCCTCTCAGTTTGAATGGGCATGACGCCACAGATTTTTTTTTCTGTAAGATTTTTTTTTCTTTGCCTCTCACTTCTCATATCATCTTACAGTTTTCCCCCCCCCTTCATTTGCTGCAGGTGGTGTTGAGACGCATAGCACTCTCTTCCTAGACCTTCCTAGATCACCTGCTAAACACGTCTCTCTGTACAACTGTTCTCTTAAAGTGCACACACATACAAAACATGCATACACAATTCATGATTTATGCTGGCAGGAATTTTCGTAGAGTGGGTGATATTCTTGTTTCACCCAACACTTAAAGAGGGAAAGAGGGAGCCTGGAGTTTCATTCTCATTAGCATACTCTCATCTGTGTGTGTGTGTGTGTGTGTGTGTGTGAGAAATGAGCCGTGTCAAGAGATGGTGAGATCACCACGCTGGCGCCAGTTATCAGGATACCATCTCAGACTGACCACGATCTTCACACACACACAAACCTGTTCACCTGGTTATGATAGTCACGTTATCCAAAGTTGACTTCTACTTTTATGTTTGGTTCTTGGCTGTTTATAAAGTCAAGCGTCTGCATCAGTTTCAGCTACAGTCATGTGTTTTTCATTCACAATGCTTCTTTCCTCCTCGGATGGCAGTAGATCATCATAAACACGCTGACAGCCGACTCATGCATCTCATCTGCTTGATATTCAGTGATCCTGAGACATACTAAAGTCACAGCCAAACCAACACGTCTGATGGCTCAATCATCGTGATACCGTGATACAGTTACACCAGCTGAAAGATCATTCAGATATCCAAAACACATTCTCACTGAGTGCAGTGCTGTAAACAGATTGGCTTTTTGGCATGAAGAATGAAGATAGTGTAACCTTGTGGTTAAACATGTGGGTAGTGAATGAAAGGTTGTAGGTTCGAACCCCATAAGGGCTGCTCAATGTGTAAAAGACACTTAACCCCACTCAAGGGTCATTGTCTCTGTAGAAAGTGCACTGTAACTCACTTTGTTTAAAGAAAAAACATCAGCTAAACGGTACAGTTGTATGTGATGAAGGAACCAGGTCAATTTCACAAATGCTTATTTTTTGTTAACTAAAACTCAAAATATTTAAAATACATTTACGTTAATTTAAAAAAAAACATATTAAAGTAAAATAAAATATTTGTAAAAAAATATATATACTATATATATATATATTTCATTTAGTTGCCAAGGCAACATATCAAATGTTTGTTGAGTTTGAATTGAAGTACTTACAATACTAAAACTGAAAAAACTAAACTAAAACAGGCATAAATACAACTAATAACACCATAAAAAACACAAAAAATTAATCAAATTTAAAAAATATAAAAATATAAACTAATTCTAATAAAACAAATTAATATTAATAAATAACATAACACTATATTAATATTGCTAAATTAACACAGCACAGCTACCGAATAAAAGAAGTGCTTATTTTATTTAGTTGCCAACAGAAAGTCAACATTTCTAATTGTCATTGAATTTGAGTTGAAGTACTTACTAAAACTGAAAATAACTAAATTAAATAATTAAATAACTAATAGGCATCTTTAAAAAAAAGAAATGAATAAACCTGACAAAATCATGCAACAAAATTATTAAAATAAAAATGGAAAATATAAAAATAAAAAATAATCCAAAATATTATAATACTATACTATAATAAATACTGAAATAAAAAAATAATAAAAACTAAATAGACATAAAAGAAACAAAATATAACAACATTACCGAAACAAACTTAAAATGAAAAATATTTAAACAAGAAAAATCTAAATATTAATAACTACTATAATACTGTATTGATGATACTAAAATAAGACTGCACAGGTATTGAATATTTATTAATTTATTTTAAAGTTTATTTGAATAGGGACAATACAATAAACATAATTCCAGTCAAAGACTGAAAAAATGCACAGATAGAGATTATAGCTGACGCTAATTCGCATCTCTAATAACAGAAGTGCTGTTAGTGGGCACCGGGAAGGACATTTGTGAACATTGGTGACTATATCAATCTCTCTTAGCGCAAACTAATAGATTCATCTTGTCATAAAAATTATTTTTCATGCACGCACATCACAACAAGTAGTTTGTGCAGGAACAGAATGTCTCACATAAAACCTTATGTATGCATAAGCACAAGCTAAAAATACAGTCTTCTAAATCTACAACCTGGTGTTTTCACCTTCTCTTTGATTGTTGATTAGATTGTGAGAGTGTGAGAGTGTGGCTGCTCACAGCTCTCATTCAACAGAACTGATCATGTCAGCACATGATTGTGTGTGTGTGTGTGTGTGTGTGTGTGTGTGTGTGTGTGTGAGCGTGAGCGTGTGCGTGTGCGTGTGCGTGTGCGTGTGTGTGTGTTTATAAACAGGAATCACATGATGTGTGTGCTGTAGGGGATTTATTTAAAATCAGATGAGCTTGATCTCTATCTATGGGCGCCTGACGCCACTGTGACTGGCACTTCTCGTTTTATCTGTTGAGTAACACTTACATGTGTGTGTGTGTGTGTGTGTGTGTGTGTGTGTGTGTAATGTAAGCCTATGTGAACCCACTTACCCTTTGTGTTTACTTGAAGTAGATGTGAATATTAATGGTAGATGATGATGTTATTTAAAATGATATTTTAGGAGTGTAGATGGATGGATGAGGTCATTTTAGTTCAGTTGCATTAAAATAACTGCACATGAGGATGTATGAACATGCCTCGGGGTGAAACGCAGCCGAAGCACCCCGTGACCCTTACACTACATGCATGCTCTACAGATTTTGGAAAGTGTGTAAAAACTAAAACAGCTCCTCATGTGATTCTGTGTGTCAGTATTTAGTTCTGACTTACATAAGGAGAGTTTCACTTTCACAAACCGGACACACAAACCTTGTGAACTGGACCAAAGCAGCAGCACATTGTGTACTTGCAGTGACTCCAAAAGTATTTAGACACTTAAGTCACACTAAAGCTATCTGAATGCATTAGATGCATCCAAGCAAGTGGAATTTAATGGGGGAAAAAGCACAAGTACACTTCATGAGAAAAACGTTTCACTAAAAGAAGATTGTTAGATTTAAAACCATTGAAAATGAAGGCAAAAAGTCTACC